GCTATTTTTTTACATTTGGTGTCACTATCTTTTCACATTGGGTGTCGCTATCTTTTCACATTGGATGTCGCTATCTTTTCGCATTGGGTACCACTTATTTTCTTTGATCTATCTAAACGCCGTCTCTATTCTTTGTGTTATGTACTTTGACCTCAACATTATCAGTTCACATTGGGTCTATATTTCTTTAATCTCAACTACACCTCATATCGGTGCCACCTGTTCTTTGATCTCAACTACACTTTCTATTAGTGCCACCTGTTTTTTAATCTTATTGCGTCGCTTTATTTGGTGCTACTGTTTTTTTTTTTTACATATTTTATTTTGAACTGGCCTTACTAGTTCATTACCTATAGATGGAATACACATTTATTAGCAGGAACACCCTTGATCGAATTGTGGAAGAGTATATAACCAATCTTCCAAGAGCGAAACAAGCAAAGGCCTTAATCAATAATGAACTTTTAAATAAAATTAAAACAATTTTATTAAATCCTAAAGACACCTCATTGTATGATAAAAACCTACGCGGTTGGACTAAAAAAAAATTTGAGTTAGAGGAAATTATGCCTGGAGATTACAGAGTAATCGTAAAGGCTTCAAAAAACCCTATGCTTATAACTGAAAGGTTTTATGAGGTTCTCTGTCATACTCATGCCTAAGTAACTCAACATGGCGGTCAGAAGCAAACGTGAATATCGATCCGTGAAAAATGGGGATACATAAAACAAGGAATCGTAGAAGAGTTTGTGAACAATTGTACAGCTTGTGCTGCAAGGAAACCATCGTTCCACCCTTTGGCAGCAAAACCAATAATTGCTAAGAATTTTTTGTCACGACTGCAGGTATGTTTTATTTTGTTCTTGATATTACAGCTGTTTTCATAAATTCTGGGATATCTGGCAAAAAATGGTCGAACAAATAATGCCAGTTCGATAAGTTTGTGATTCAGCAGTGATAAACTTTTGATTCGGATGTGAATTATAGTAATTCATATCCAAATCAAAAGTTTATCACTACCGAATTACAAACTTATCAAACTGGCATTATTTGTTCGGACTATTTTTTGCCAGATATCCTAGAATTTATGAAAACAGCTGTAAATTAAAATTTTTAAAATTTTCTAATTAGATGTTTATTTTGTAGATGGATCTAATCGATCTATCCTACATCCCAGATGGTGAGTTTAAGTATGTGTGTCATATAAGAGACTATTTTAGTAGGTTCTCATGGGCGAGAGCGCTCACATCCAAGAGACCAATTGAGGTTGCATCGTATCTCTTTGACCTTTTTCATCTAATTGGATCATCACTCACTATTCTGCAATCGGACAATGGCAAAGAGTTCGTTGCACAAGTTATCAAAGAGTTGGTTGGACTCTGGCCCTCTGTAAAGATAATCAATGGGCGCCCTAGGCATCCTCAGTCACAAGGTCTTGTCGAACGGGCGAATGGTATTTTAGAACAAAAATTGGGAAAATGGAGAGAAACAACTGGTCGAAATGACTGGTCATTTGGTTTGAGATTAGTCGTAGTTGCCATGAATAATTCATGGTGTAGATCACATAAAAAAACTCCCTATGAGCTAGTTTATGGAGACAAACCTCGTAGTAATTGTACTCTTGTTGACGAATTATATGCCAATAATATCTTTGATGAAGAGGATGTTCCAGATACAGTAGAGATCCCGAATGGTGAAATTGACTTAGATGATGACATGGCTGGTAAGAAAATTAATAAAATGATATAAAGTATTTTGTTTAATTAAATTTATTTAATTTTTTTTTTTTTAGAATTTTTACCTGATGATGATCCAGAAATATCACCCAACTATATTGGTTGTTCAGTACCGTTGCATGATAATTGTTTAGTACAATTATCTAAAAGTCCAGTGCTTTCACCTGAAATTTCAGTATCTTCACCCAGTTTAGTCTCTTCGCTCAGTTCAGTCTCTTCGCCCAGTTTAGTGTCTTCGCCTAGTTCAGTGTCTTCGCCCAGTTCAGTGTCTTTGCCCAGTTCAGTGTCTTCGCCTGTTTAGTGTCTTCACCTAGTTCAGTATTTTCATCTAGTATAGTGTCTTCGCACACTAATAATGTTTATTATTCAGTGTTTTAACCTAAAAAATTCAATTCCATCATCCGATAATTAAGGTTGTAGTCAAGTGCTTTTGCCCAGTAATCAAGGTCATGAGCAAGTTTTTTTGCCCAGTAATCAAAGTTGTGATCAAATGCCTTCGCCTGGTAATAATCAAGATTGTGGCCAAGTATCTTCGCCTGGTAAGCAAATTGTTAGTCCTTCACACAATAATGTTTTTTGTCAGTGTTTTTATCTAAAAATTCAATACTATTATCCGATAATCAAGGTTATGAGCAAGTTTTTTCTCCCAGTAATCAAAGTTGCTGTAAAGTGCCTTCGCCCAGTAATAATCACCAAGTGCTTTTGCTTGGTAATCAAAGTTGTAATCAAATGCCTTCGCCCGGTGAAAATCAAGATTGTTGTCAAGTATCTTCGTTCAGTAAGCAAATTTTGGTCCTTCGCATAATAAGTTTTTGCTAGTATCTTTATTTAAAAATTCAATACTATTATCCAATAATCAAGGTTGTGAGCAAGTTTTTTTGCCCAGAAATCAAAGTTGTGTGCAAGTTTTTTTGCCTAGTAATCAAAGTTGCAGTCAAGTGCTTTCGCCTAGTAATAATCAAGTACTTTCGTCTGGTAATTAAAGCTGTAATCAAATGCTTTCGCCTGGTAGTTGTAGTCAAGTAACTTCGTCTGGTAAGCAAATAGTTGGTTTTTTGTATAATAAAGTTTTTGTCTCGTCTTTATCTAAAAATTCAATACAATCATCTAATAATTAAGGTTGTGTTCAAGTGCTTTCGCCTGGTAATCGAGGTTGTAGTCAAGTTTTTTCGCCCAGTAATCAAAGTTTTATTCAAATGCCTTCGCCCGGTAATAATCTAGGTTGTAGTCAGATATCTTCGCCCAGTAAGCAAATTGTTGGTCTTTCGTGCAATAAGTTTTTTGTTGTCTTTATCTAAAAATTAATACTATTATCTGAAATAATCAAGGTTGTGAGCAAGTTTTTTTGTCTAGTAATCAAAGTTGCAGTCAAGTGCCTTCGCCCGGTAATAAAAATTGTGATCAAGTGCTTTCACCCGGTAACCAAAATTATAATCAAGTGCCTTCACCTGATGTCCTCGTTGATGACTCTGTATCTTTGACTACTGATTATGTTAGTTCTTCTGAACCTTTATCTGAGAATTGTGTTGGCCGTCAAAAGCTTTTGTCTAATAACCGTAGTATGTTTTGTGTTTCAGCTGATAATTGTTATTGATCAGGATATAATACTAATTCATCAAATTCTAGCTTTTGTTGATATTACTAACAATCATTTGAATTCCAATCGTCATGATATTCTATGAGAAGCTGCGCGCTATAACCTTCAGCAGTATACTGACAAGATGACACAACAAATGTTAAAAAAAAGAAAGCTTATTAATATTCAAGTTGGTGATTTTGTAAGAGTAAATATCCCAAAGATCGATCGATTCGGTATTGATCGCCCTACTCTTCCCTGTAAAGTTTTGGAAAAAACTGGTGAAGATCAGTACCGACTTGGGTGTAAATTTGGTATAATTAGGATATGCTACGCCTCAAGCGAACTTGAAATGCTCGGAACTATGACTTGTCCTGAGCTTGATGAAATTCCATCAAATCAAGTATCGATTCATGAGGCAGCAAGGCTGCAAAGTGTAGGAACTATGTCAGGTTCTATCTGTAGTTGCAAGGGTTTGTGTGATAGCAAAAAATGCAAGTGTAAAAAAATGAATGCAAACGTACAAGTCGTTGTCATAGTGGGCGATCATGTTTAAATAAAGATTAATATCGATATACAGTATTTTGCACAAAAAATTAGTTTTTTTTCCTGAATGTATTAAAATAAATTTATTAGATTTTGGTTTATGGAAAGATATTCATCTGATTTGCTAGATCTACTCATGATTTTTCAAGATAATTAGGCAATTAGATTATTAGTTATATAATTTAATCGAACAAATTCATAATACAGACAAAACTTTATACTACATACGTACTAGCGAAACTTATATCTTATTCTTTATTAATTATCCTTTATTAATTATATTTAATTACATAATTGAGTAGAAATATTACTGCCTTTGTTAGAGTTATTAGAAACGCTACTACCTTTAAAATATATTATCAATTAGGCAATATTCTACTTAATAAAATTTTTTAGTCAAAGAAAAACTTTTAAGAAATTCCATTATTTATTTATATAAATTCTTAAATAATCTTATTTTTTAGTTATTACAGTCGTTGCACCACTATTTTTCATTTATATTATTAATTAATATTACACGTTTCTATTAAATATTAAAGTAATATAAATAAGTATTTGAATTATTAAAAGAAGTAGTTTAAACTTAAATACAATAAGTTAACAAATTGTATGAGTTTTTTTTCAAATCTAAATTTACCTTAAACATCTTGATCGTTCTTTTTTTTTAACTATTTTTT